AGAAAATTCAGCTACCCGAATATCTCAGTGTCGATGATGAAGAGGATGAGGAGGAAGAGGGGAGTTCTGCTAAGGCATCCATCAAATCCCGTCGCAAGCACATAAAGTATCACAAACAGCGTCGCAGGAGAGCTCAGCAACGAGAAACCGCCGAGGAGGAGCGCAAAGCCGTGGTGCCTGAGGGGATTCAATCAAAGGAGACACGTTCTTCGGGTATGTGGACCCGGATATTTGAGTCGCTGTCAAAAATAAACTACGACTAGTTTCACTTTTAAAAGTCAGAAACTCCACGCTAAATTCGACACTTTACAAAGACAGAACAGTGGAGACCTAGGTAACTAAGATACTACCAGGATTCATAAGTTACCTACTGCTTGATTAATGGGAGAGTGGAAGCAAGCAAATCCGTTTAAACGTGATCATTTTTGATGGGCAATTTCGTGCTTAAAAGTAACTTTTATTTAAACGTTACTCTCACAACAAAGGAGGATGTAGAAATTATTGTTTCCTATCTTTCAGGGTCCGTACCGCTGGAAAGGGTAGGTTACTTATGTCAAATCAGTACTACATCCTTTTCAGATGGTCTTGGTCAAACGTTATTAACGTAGACAGAGATTTCTTGTTGATAATTCAATTTAGCAAAATGCAGCAAACAAATTGAAAGTTCCAAATTACTTGCAGCGATTCTTACAGCAACGATATATTTACCCTAAATAGTACCTCATGCCATTTAGGCAGATGATGCCACGTCGAATTAAACATACTACATTAAGTGAGTAAAAATGTTCCTGCATAGTTCTCTTAATACTTCATCCTGCCCCAGTCAATGACAGAGGAGGAAGCACTTCAGAAGGCCAACGATGACGAGGAGACGTGCATCGGTCTCATAGCAATGGTGAGGAGAGAAGACCACTTGGACGAAGTTGAGAGCCTGCTGAAGAAGATTCGCAAAATCATCAGGTCTTTTGTCCGTTACTTTATCGCACAACACAACAATTGTGTTTTGCTTACGCGTAAATTACGTTTGCTAGAAATGAAGAGGGCACAATGGATGTTGAGGCAATTATGCGTGTCTACACAGAGCTGCAAAATGCTATTCTCGACCTTCAAAAGGAGATAGAGCTTATTCCAGAAGGAAACGATGAGTGGAATATTGTTAACAGCATCATTAGCGCCATTAAGGAGACCTCCACGACACTTGTAGATATCGATGAGAGCGGAGGCAGTGAGCTTGAAGAAGATCAACAGAAGGCCCCTGAACACGATATTGTGAGCCCTCATTTTATATCTGCTTCACAAAATAAATCCATAGAAGAAATTCAGCGTCAACTAGATTATTAATGAGGATAAATAAATGGAATTAAATAACCTAAAAAGCATTGTCGTATTCACTTCAAGCATTAAAAAAGCGTCTGTTCCATCAAGGTCAAAGAACCAATGGTAGGCACTGCAGTGACCGATACTGGGAAAGCGGAGAAGATGCGAAAACGGCTGGAATCGATGCTACGAAAGCGTAAAAAGCCACGCCTCCAAACTGCTAGACTTCACGTCCCCTCAATCACCTCTGAATCCAACTCTTCGGAGTCCGACAACGAAGGTTTCGAATTCCGCGTCGAGCCTCTTCCACGACGCAAAGTGGTCAAACACACCACCCTGGAAAGCTACTCCGAGGAAGAGGAGGAGAAGCTAAGAGAATTTGGTGCCACCGAGGAGCGCTTCAAAAAACCACCTACCAAAGGACGTACTTCTAAATTATCTGTATCACAACGGAAGAGATCTCTTGTAGTCCCTTCTGTAGAGACTGCTCATCCGATCGAATCAAGAAGACTCACTCTGGAGGAACAAGCAGCCTACGTAGTGGAAGTAGCAATTGGAAAGATAGCAAGCATCGGGCACTCTGGAAGAACAAGTACAGATCGCCTCTGGAGTGACCTTCAGCCCAATTCAAAGCTGGTACAGTCGATACGACGAAAAAGTGGTCGAATATCAGCTGGCCTCTTAAAGGACGATATATGGCGACGCCAGAAGACACGATCTCTTATTGCGAGGATGCAACAAAAGTTGAGCCCTCTAGTGTCTGGCGGGGTTGAGGATGCTACTCCACACGCGCTAAAACCTAACGAAGTCCGTGAAGCCCTGACCAATCCAGAATTCGAGGAGATTGCACAGGAGTTCAAAGCTCTCTACGGCGCGTGCGTGCAACACCTCCTCTGCTTTTCCATTTGTGGCTTTTAATATATTCACTTCGTTTATTTCATTGTAATCACAGACAACTAATGAAGTCGGGTAGCGACAATTTGCTTGCAAAGATCACCCAGCAGATGGATACTATCAGCACAAAGGTTGGTGAAGAGCCAGCACTCGATAAAATGATGAATCTGCTGAGCATCTTGAAATACCAGGACCGAAAGTTCACGGCAGATGAGATGCTGACAGAGGTGGGTTTATTCGTTTCTACTTGAGAGATAACATCCTTACAGTACTTTGAGGAATTGGACCCGGAAGAGTTGAAATATATGGAGGACATGCTATCTGTAATAAGAGAACTGCTACTGACCGAGTTCTCGATCACTAGCGCAATGCTTCCATCACAACGGATTGCTTGGATGTCGATCCCAGGAAACTGGGAAAATCATCGGCGGTATTTGGCTATCTTGGGCCAATTGTTACAGTGAGTTAAGGTTTATAGCATTTTGAAGGGTTAACAGACTCTAGAACTAACCGACTTTTCTCACAGGCTCCAAGTAGTTCTGCCAGAACTGGCATCTATAGTTGTCTCGGCTCTGGTTATGAATGTTTTCGACACGATTGCTATCTTCAACGCACGCGACATCATCATGAACGATATCGAGAAAGTGGTGTATGGGTACTTGAGGGATGAGATTGAAGCTCTTTCATGGTTCCATGTTCACATGCACGATCGTGACGAGGTCTTGAAGGTCAGTAGCATTCTCGATTGCATGAATTGATTCAATCTTTTAGCCACTAGTGGAAGAATACGACGCAGAACTTGGGGTGAGTTTACACTAACTTTGATCTCCGAATTATAAAACCTCCTGTTTACAGAGCCTGCTCGGTGTAGAGGATAGTAGTCACACCATTAAACCTTCGGTTGATAAGAGCCGTGAGTTTCCACTGCTAAAAATATTAAAAAAATGAAATAATTGGAGAAAAGCCCAAAGTCTAACAATTAACTCACATATCTCAGTATTGGATCTAGTGGTAGCGCCGGGCTACACGTACATCCTTCAGACGGGGGTAGAGAAGGGATTCGCTGTTTCAAGAGTGGAGGACCAAATTGAGCGCATTAGCTCCATCGAATATATGCTTCACCTGCGGCGCTTGGCTCTTTCGGTATGTGGATAACAATGTTGCAGCATTGATGGCAATTCTTTCGACAGTATCCTTTTTTGCATCCAACCCCAGGCAAAGCATAAACCCCACCTTCCTCCGGTTGAAGTCGTGGCTGAAGAGGTGGAAAAGACAATAGCCATTCTGCAAAACGCCACAACGGTAAGTAAAACCACCGTTCACCAACTGCCTCCACGCCGAGCAGAAAAACGGGACTGTTTTGGTTTTTAAGATTGCAGCCGCCCTAGAGGCTACCGGGACGTATGATGCGGCAGAAAGGACATTTGCAGATTATTATTGTCGAGTGGCCACCGACAAACAGTGCGCCAGAGTAGGCGAGATCTTCCAGTCTGTGATTAATGCCTCCTTCACCCAGCGCAAAGTTGACGTTGAAGAGCTGCTCTTTACACGGTAAGACACGAAAAAAGAGGTCACAGTTGGAAACGTCTATAAACTACCAAAAATTGCTCCCGCTGTAGTGACACTGACAACGAAATTCTTGGCGACCTGGAGGAAACTACAAACATTCTGCATCGACGCTCGCTATCCCTATCACCTGAAAAGCAAAAACCCGTCTATCAACTTTACGCATTTGGTCGACAAGTGAGCTTTGGCAATCCTGAGGACGTCACACGTATTCTGGCGTCCTCACTTGAAGGTGGGCGCTTCTACGCAAGTGAGAGGGCCTCCCCAGCTCAAAGGCAACAAATGTACACTATTCAGGGAGCTGAGCAGCAAAACAAAACAGAGGTGCACTTTCCAGGCTTGAATTACCAGGAGGAGTACAAACAGGAACCTAACAAACACCATTCGACGGGAGAGGAGGAAAAGTTACCAAGTCTTACACAACAGCCCAGACCACTAACCCTCGTTCACAAGCACACAACACCGTTGGCGTCCTTGTGGCACTTCCACGCATCATCATCAGAAAACTCGGAACTGAATGGAGAACCAATGTTGTGCAACTACACTCAACTTTCGGCATACAGATACAGCCGAACACCGCACGTGGCCTCACATAGCTACCCACTCACTAGACAAGAAGTGGAGGCAGTGGAACGATTCCTGGAGATAATGTGCAAAAAGAAGCCGAAGTCTGCAGAGTGGAAGGTGGGCTCAAAGACCGATACAGCAAACAAAAAGTCTACGATGCAAAAGAAATCGAGCGGTTTGGATCAGGGAGCGATAAATGTACTGCTTAAAGAACCTGAAATGATGCATATTTTGCGACGAAATCCCGCCACGGTGTTGGAGCAATTGCGACAACGTCTGAAGCCGGGTGGACTGACCCAAGTGTTGGATGAGGTGATGCGAGAAACGGGAGGCAAGAAATCGAAGAAGATCTTCCTCCAGGCGCTACAGAAAGCCGTCATTATTGAAAAGGAGGCGAAACAACAACTCCTAAAGACATCGATTAAGTAAGCTTTACATATTAACCTATTGATATCCGCTTCTAATTCTAGAAGGCTCAATATTGGTGGTCGAACCATACGAAGGCCAACGGAAATACCATCTCGTGATTGGCAACGACTAGCTAAATCAGACACCACAGAATTCGAAAAACTACCCATGACCGACGGCAAACGACCACATTGTAGGGCCGAATACATCTGTCGCAGTGGGTACGTCAACATTGTCGGCGCCTCGCGCGGTTACCTTACAAGGTTGGATGTTTTGCAGCACCTCCACAGAGCAAACCACTTGCGGGGTGAGAACAATACGTTGACATATAGTAATGTAGCCACTAATACATCACCAACGAGGCAAAATACTGATTTTTTTACTTTTAGCCAACGATCGGATACACAAATCTATTGAGGAGTGGTAAGTTAACATGTATGGAAGATAATACTTCGTAAGGATATAATAACTGAGATCTTGCAAAGCCCTAGAGCATTAATCCAGAAAGGTTAGAACCAGGTCAAAACATATTCGAAGCATTGCAATAATGGAAAATGGACAAGCACGGGACTTTGGAGAAAGGAAGTATGTCAAACTCTATCTAAGGTTCTCGCTAGCGCTTCAATGGACTCCAGAGACCGTTCCTCAGTCCGGTGGGCAGTTTTAAGCTCGTCTGCTTTGGATCGTAATATACGATAGAGTTTTGAGGACTCCGAAACCAGTAAATCACGGTGATCCTTTTCTATATCGTAGATGAGCGCATTTGTGTCCTCTTCGGGGTCGCCTGATGGTCTCCTAAAAGACTTAGAGAACAAGATGAATTTACCAGGGTCGTTTCACAGCACACGTTGTGTTGGCAACGTCAATTATCGCCGCCTTTTTTGAAACCTCCATCTCCTCAATCAATTTGACAATTTGTGACTAGACAGATTAATACTTAAGGGCACTTGTACCATCGATTCGCGTTTAAATTCTTCGATTCCATTCCCGACAACGGAGTCGAACCATTGAGGGTCTAAATTCCTCAGTTTACCACAAGATTTAGTTAGCTTCGTACTATAAAGGCGTTATTTTTGCGGGAGCTTCAAACCTGAAGTAAGAGGAAAGGGTGTCCGTTATTTTCTCCGTAGCATTGAGAAGCTTTTCGTCAGCAAGTGACGACCCACTCTCCATCCTCGGCCGACGGACGACAGCAACAGCTGAATGGGGCGGCTCGAACGAAGATCGGAGAGGTTGGTACAATCAAACAAACCTTTGTCATATGCAACTTTGTGCATATTTACTTCAGAAATAAATATTTTTTTCTTAAACGCAACAAATGCTGCTGACTTTACATACTTGAAAGGTCATAATTGAGGCGCAAGTGGGTAGGTATACGACACTCGTATCTTAAAAGGTGCAGTCAACACACATGACTTAGTGTGCTAAGAAATGCGTTTTCTATCTTAAATTGTTTGTGGAAAAATCGTTTTTTTAAGTAGTGAGGGTTATAAGTCTGGCCTTCAGCATATGGTCCAGGGATTTTGGGCAAAAGTACCAAGAAACAGAAAAGTCTGTGTGTAGCGTCCCGAGACTTCCCTGAAGATGAAAGAAGACACAATACTTGGGCATAATGTATATACTCAGCATAGAGAAGATATCTGGGCTACTGGCATGGCCCGGAGGCCAGCCCACCCAGAGAGGTTCAAGAAGGCTAATTCAGAGTAAAAAAGTAATCCCTCACCAATACAGAGGGATAATGTAATACGATAGTGGTTTATCCCTCGGTTCTGGTGAGGCGCCACTTTTGTACTTTGAATTAGCCCCC